TGTAGGAAAAATAAGCAGCATGGAGACTCATGTATCTATGTCAAAACAAATCTAGAAGCAAAGCCTTATAACTTGTTTGAAAACTTGAATCCAGGAGAACACTTTGAGGCTGGTATGATCGAACTTATCCAGTTTAATACAATTATTATCTGTGTATATAGAACTCAAAACAGTAATATTAATATATTTATTGCAACCATAGACACAATAATTAGTAAATTAATAAACAAAGGGAGGAGCATCATTATCGTAGGTGATTTCAACATAGATTTCCTAGGAAGAAGAGTAAATCTACAACTACAGACAATGTTAAACATATGGGTTGCAAGCAATAGTTGATGTCACAATGAGAATAGGACCTAGAAGTCAAACAGCAATAGATCAAGTAATATTTAACAAGGGCTTATGGGGATACAATCTTAAGGTGAATGAAACAGGATTTTCTGACCATAACGCACAGATACTACAATACAGATGCAGTATAAGAATAAAAAGGGGCAAGTTAGACTAAAGGAAGAATTCAGAATAGCTAGATCTTACAGGGGAGAGAATGTACAGTACTTAAACTATCTACTAGAAAAAGAGACTTGGGAGCTTGCTTTTACGCAAAATTCAGCGAATGAGGCATACAATGAATTTTTAGGTACTTTATAGTATTATTACGATATAGCTAAGCCTAAAAACCGGGTAAAAACTAAACAGCAGGAAAATAAATGGGTTACCTCAGGAATAAGGGTATCAGGAAATAGACTCAGGTTTCTTAATAGTCTAACGAAAGAAGGAAATATGCCAGAAGAATTTAAAGAATACTATTGTCATTACAAAAAAATATACAACAAAGTTATTAGTGAAGCGAGAAAATTAACTAACAACATGCAAATAAGAGCATCAGGGAATACATCAAAAGCCATTTGGGACCTAGTTAAGGAGGAACTAGGTAAACAGAAAAAAGCAACGAAGAATATCGAAAGAGAACGGAGTAAATATACAGGATCCAAAAGCTATAGCCAATGTCTTTAATGAATACTATACTAGTATTGCCCAAAAGATATTGAGTGGCAATCTATTATCAAAAACCAATGAAGTTAATGTGGCAGTCCTTCTCTTGTGAATGCGTGCGTTGTACTGAGCAGTAGCCTAACGAATTTAACTTTGAATTTATATATAATCAATATGTTCTTTCCATGTTAATGAAGATTCTATTATAATACCTAAAATTTTAATGGAGTTAGTAGAGTTAATTTTATAAGTACTGAATTCAGTGGTATCCAAATATATATTTGGAAGGAACTGCATAAAATAAGTCTTATTATAATTTAATAAGATTCTATCTGAGTTAAACCATTTTTGTGTAATCTCAAGAACTACTTTAACATCTTGGTCCATCTTCACTGTATCAGAATTTGATATTATAAAGGTAGTATCATCTGCAAAGAGTATCAGTAAGGCTTTGCCTTTTACTAATTTAGGTAGATCATTTATATAAAATAAAAGCAATAAGGGTCCAAGAATCGACCCTTGGAGCACTACATGTTTACCTAATCCCCAGGCTAAAACATAATTTGAAGCATACTGACTTAATTATTACTCTTTGATACCTATTACTTAAGTAAGATTTAATTAATTCACCAAATCTATCCACTATGCCATAATACTCTAATTTAGTTATTAGGATGTCATGATTTACAGTATCAAAAGCTTTACTTAGGTCACAGAAAATTCCACTAACTGATGATTTCTTATTAATTTGTGATAAAATTTGATTTGTTAGGTTAAATATAGTCAATTCCGTTGAACTGTTATTTTTTATTCTATTGATCTGAGGCAATTACATTATTTTCTTCAGTATGATGAAGGACTATCTCAAAGATTTTAGAAAAAGATGTTAAATCGGTAAAACTTGAGAAAATTTTAAACGTGCAGGAAATGTGCCTGTAGAAAACATCCTATTGCATATATACATCAAAGGAGATGAGATAAATGGCATACTCAATTTTACTATACTAGACGGTATTTCATCATAGCCACAAGAGTTTTTCCATTTCAAACTTCTGTTCATCTTATAAATTTCTTTTTCAGTAACAGGCTTCAAATTTATTGGTAGGAAAGGTTGGTGAGATTCATGTACTAGGTATACCAAATACGAATGCTGATTAATTTGGTTGTGGTCTTGTTTAATTATATTTAAAACACATTCATCCACAACTTTAGAGAAGTAATTATTAAAAGTATCTGCAAAAAATTTGAGGATTTTTAGTTAGTTTCCTTTCAATGTTCAACATAAGTTCATTCTCACTATTAGATCCTTTATTAGTTAAGGATCTGATAACATTCCAGGCTGTTTTTGTTTTATTTGATGATTGAGATATTAATTTATTATAATGTNGCAAAATTCAGCGAATGAGGCATACAATGAATTTTTAGGTACTTTATAGTATTATTACGATATAGCTAAGCCTAAAAACCGGGTAAACACTAAACAGCAGGAAAATAAATGGGTTACCTCAGGAATAAGGGTATCAGGAAATAGACTCAGGTTTCTTAATAGTCTAACGAAAGAAGGAAATATGCCAGAAGAATTTAAAGAATACTATTGTCATTACAAAAAAATATACAACAAAGTTATTAGTGAAGC